CAGAACAACAGGTGTTCAGACAGTACAAAGCTAGGAAGCACGGCAAGTGTAGGAAAGGAGAGTGGGTGAAGATGGAATGTTGGTAGATACTAGGGGTCACAAGTAGGGCTTATGGGTCATGTTAAGAGGATTTTGGGGGGTCATCTTGGTGGCTCAGTTGGTTAAGCATCCGACTTTGGTTCAGGTCATGATCTCATGGTTCATGAGTTCGAGCCCTGCATTGGGCTAACTGCTGTCAGCACAGAGACCACTTTGGGTCCTCTGCCTCCCTCTCTCTCTGCCCCTCTCTGCTTATGCTCGCCCTCATGCTCTCAAAAATAAAAACATTTAAAAACTTTAAAATAAAAAGGATTTTTCTGTAAGATAAATAGGTGTATTTTGATATCTGGTGTATTTTGAGCAGAGTTGCTCTAATTTTCCCTTAAGAATATTCCTCTAATGACTGAGTTGAAACTTGAGTGGTAAATCCCACTACAGAGCCAGGCAGAGGACCTAGTCAGTCTGTCACACTCCCTCATGTTAGCTACTGGTCCTTACTTGTTACCCTGGGTTTTACAGCATTTTACACAAAAATTGAGGGTAAGGGCTGAGGCTGGCTCAGACAGTAGAGCATGTGACTCTTGATCTCAGGGTTTTAAGTTTGAGCCCCACATTGGATGTAGAAATTACTTAAAAATTAGAAAATTGAGGGTTAGATGCTGCTCTACGTTCTGGGAAACAAATATTACAGTGTTTAAGTTACTGGTCTTAGAATAAAACATAACTTTTCCTAGTTGATAGGCCCTTATTTTAAAAGCTCTCTCTGAGACTCCTACTCAGCAATACAAAGTAATGACCTATTGATTCATGTAACAACCTGGCTGGGTCTCCATAGAACTACAGAGTACTATATATGTATATATGTAGAATACTAATTATATATAACAGAGTTATAGAATATTATCAAACTTTTACCTTGATTATTTCTGGGTGCTGAGTTGAAAAAATGATATACTCAGCATCTCTGTAGTGTTCAAGTTTTCTGTTACAAGCATAAAAGATGTTTGCAATCAGAAAAAGAATAAGATTATTTAAATTTAAAAATGGGGAGGGGGCACCTGGCTGGCTCATTCAGTAGAGTATGCAATATATATATTTTTAACTTCTTTAAGTAATCTCTGTGCTCAGCCAGGGGCTCAAATTCATGACCCTAAGATCAAGACTACCTGCTCTTCCGACTGAGTCAACCAGGAGACCAGAACATAGAACTCTTGATCTCCAGGTAGTGAGTTCAAGCACCACGTTGGGCATAGTTCTTATATAAAAAATACATATACATACATATATACATACAATGGGGAGGGATATATAGTCCCCAAGCAGGCACAGTCACTGGCTTTTCTCCCAGATAGTAATAAATACCAGAAATGCAGGGCAGCCCAGTCCTTCAGAAACCACTCAGAAGCAAGAGGGCCTTCGAGAACCCCTGAGAGCCTTGGTTTCCTCCTATGCACAAATGGAATGATACAAATTGAGTTAACATGTGAAATGTTGTAACAGTGTCCTTCACATACTAAGTATTCAATTATTTAGAAATTATCCTTTGCTATCTCTTGTTCTCTGGGCAACCCCTCCTCTGGGAGAAGACACAAGGAAGGGAATTGGGACTAAAGCCATGCCCCTTCAAGGAGAACTGGACCCAGGGAGGGCGTCTCCAAGCACAGGGAGAGATCCTACACAGGGAAGCCTGGGCAGAGACCCCTCATCCTATGGCTACTTTCCCCTCTCTTGACTGGGGTGGGGGTGAGGTGAGAAGGTGGGGACTGGACTTGTTTCTCATGGGACCCACAGCCCAACTCTTGGGCCCAGCTGCCTAACCCACAGGCTAACTTACTCCCTATTATATTCCCTATCACACTCCCTGACTTCTACCCATAATTAAGCCAGATCCCAGACGTCCTCCATGAGCCCCTTGCCCCAACCTTAGACACACAGAAGCAGCCTAAACCAAGTCCCCACCTGTAATTGTACAAAGTCAGGCTCACTGATGCTGGGCAATGAGGGAGCCTCACATGTCGAGGGTGTAGGGGTTGCAGAATCCCTCACCCCAGAGTGCTTGCTTATAGGACTTGAGGGAACTGTGCAATTTGTTCATCCAAAATTGCAATAAAGCTGTGTTTGGTTGGCTGAGAGCAAAGTAGGACTGGGACTGGGGTCCGCCACCAAGTGGAGCCAGGGAACTAAAATGTTATGATGGGTGTGGAATGTCATGTCCAGAAACCCTTTATTGGAGTGGGCGCCCAGGTTGTAATCCCTGAATATTCAGTCAGAGTAACTTAGGTGCCATGGTGCTGGTCTGGTCAGTCAGTAGATCTGATGAGTTTAAGCCCCACTTTGGGTGTAGAGAATACTAAAAAAAGGTAAATAAACTTCAAAAAAGTAATTAAGGCCTCCAAGTCAATAGCGGGGTTTCCTTCTTACTGGTAGGATTTCCAACATCAGAGCTTCTCAGGGTTGTGATTGTAGAGACCTAAGTGTTTCGGGAAGAAAGCAGCTAGGGGAGGGTGCCTGACTGGTTTAGCCAGAGGAGCAAGCAACTCTTGATTTCCAGTTATGAGTTTGAGCCCCACATTGGGTTATAGAGACTACTTTTTAAGTGTATTTATCTACTTTTGAGAAAGAGAGGGGTGGGGAGGGAGAGAGAGAGAGAATCCCAAGCCGGCTGCGCACTATCAGTGCAGAGCCCCATGCTGGTCTCCAACCCAGGAACCATGAGATCGTGACCTGAGCTGAAATCAAGAGTCAGAGGCTTAGGGGCGCCTGGGTGGCTCAGTCGGTTGAGGTTGAACATCTGACTTCGGCTCAGGTCATGATTTCTCAGTCCGTGAGTTCAAGCCCCGCATCAGGCTCTGAGAGCCTGGAGCCTGCTTCAGATTCTGTGTCTCCCTCCCTAGCTGCCCCTCTCCTATACACACTCTGTCTCTCAAAAATGAATAAACGTTAAAAAAAAAAAAAAGGAATCAGAGGCTTAACAAACTGAACCACACAGGCGCCCTGGTGTAGAGATTACTTAAATAAACTTAAGTGTAAAAAAAAAAAAAAAAAAACAGTTTTCCCTTTCTCAGAGGGGGGTGTTCTGACCAGGGGGCTTCTGTGTCTGCCCCACCAATGGCCACAGACTTTGCCTTCCTGATGGAGCTCATTTTTACCTTCTCAAATGCAGTCCACCCACACCAGCATCCTCCAGGTCTCCTCCAAGGAGAGGGACTGGCACCCCACTCCCCAGGACTGCAGAGGAGTTTGGAAGCCACTTTCTGAGGCTCTGACTCCCCAGCGCTTGTGGCTGCTGCCTCCGTGTTGGGCTGCATGAGCCCCATGCTTTTGGGTTTCCTCTTGCTCCGTGTCCCGCCCTCAGGAGGGGACAGTGGTTCTGCCTGCAGTGACCCCACCTGCCTCCTTCCTCTTTGATCTCATCGCCTATATTCCAGACATACTGACTTGCCTCTGGTCTTTGCAAAAGGTTGATTGCATGTTCTGATCTCTCCACTAGGAAAGATGTTTGTGTGGCTGGCGCCTCTAATCATTCAGGCTCAAATGTCACCTCTTAACCCGATCATATCACCAATTGCTGCCCACACATTCCAGCTGCTGAAACACTTGTATCTCCTTCACGACATGTGTAGGCTCAGAATCCTGGGGCGGTGAGGGCCTTATAGGATGGGTCCTGGTGGTGATGAGCTTGGCACAGCCACTAACCTCCATGGCTCCCTGCTGCCCTTGGTCACCCACTGAGACAGTGGCTGTACTTTCAGTCAGGTGTCTTGGGTCTCAGGCTCTTGGAGTTCCTGCTGCAGCTCTGGGCCAGCCTTGGAACCCTCCCCCACCTCCATCTCCTTATATGTCCTGTTTCAAGGGCCCTAAGCAGATCTAGGAGTCTCATTTTTAGACCTCAGGGCCTGGGATGTGCTGCCAAACAGGAGACAGGGTCCTCAGCTTTCAGACTCCCCTGCTGTGGCTTCCTAACCCAAGTCTACAAGTCAGGGGCCTGAAGTCTAGGGCAGATACTTTCCTCAGGACCCCACACCACCCTAAGAAGTGGAGAGAGGGTTTGGAGCAGTGCACCATTAGAGCTGGGTTGAGGCAACACCAAGATGCACCAACATGGCTGTCCTATCACCCCAGATCCAGACTGTGCACCGCTGTCTGGCCGTAATGGGTCAGATCTTTGCTGCTGGACCTGCCTCCACTCCAGGGCCTGTGCAGGGAGCAAGGGCTGGCCCAAGTGCACCTAAGCTCCTTCCATCCTGGGCTGTGGAGGTTGGCATGAAGGATGAGGCTGCAGGACAGATGGCTACTGAGGTGGAAGAGAGATTTCCCCAGCTCCACCCAGTACATGTAGGTACCTTTCAAGTGAGGTATTCCGGGAGTGGACTTGGACATACTAGGGGACCTAGATTGGGGCACTATGCAGGGCTCCTTGGCATGTAGCTCATAGTATGGTTCTGTAGGGTATTACCTAGGGTGGGCAGAGGGTCTGTGGGTGGGTCTGAGGGTTATATAGGGTTTTGCAGGGGTGAATCAACAAAGGAATTGCTTCATTTACTGAGCTGTATGAATGATAGACAGCATTCACTGAGTGAGGTGGCACCTTAGTGGAGGGCAAGCCCCTGGGGATCATTCTAGGTTAGAGGATGTCATGGGTACTTGGCTCATTGGGACTTCTAGGGTCTCTAGGCAAGGTGTGGAAATTATAAGATCTTTTGATATAACATTGAGGTATCTTGCACAGTGCATGGATGAGGGAAAGGGGCAGAAGATCAATTATCAGGAGGTTTTCAAAGTGGGGGGCATGCAGGGAGTGAGCCTTAGGATAGACATGTGGCCACAGGAAACCTTAGCAATCCACTGGACCCCCTCACCAGCAGCCACTGAGGGGCCTGAACATTCCTGGGCAAGATGTCAGAGTCTCTGCCCAGCCTTCCTATCCCCAACCAGACCCACAGAGAGTCACAAGACCACTGGAGGGAGGAGTGAGACAGTTTAATTTAGAAATAAGCTTTGGACAGTGTCCTGATCAGACGGAAGCTGAAGGGCCCAGCTTTGGAGAGAAGGGCCATCGTAGAGAATAAGGGCCCCAAGTGGGGAGGGAACAGCATGGGAGCTGGTACGGAGATGCCGCAAAGCTGGTCCTGTGCTCAGCAGGTACTGGCAGAGCCTGAGGAGAGAATGGGGGTGAGGTCCTCACAGACATGGTCACTACAAGACAACCCCTCAGCCTCCGGAGACTCCAAGGCTGGGCTGGCATAGGACTGCCCCACCTTACACATGGCATAGCATTTAACAACCCAAATACTGTGGCCACCCTGCCTGAGTGCCTGGAAGCCTCTCAAAGAAGCCGAGGAAGCCCCCGTCTCACCTGGAGTGATGAGTGGAGTGGCTCTCTCAGGTAAGGGGCTGAGAAAGGAACACATGAAATTAGCATCTCCCCTTCGGCCCTTATCCCCCACCAAGATTCCTGGTGCCCCCGCCACAGGGCATTGTGGGGCTTTGTGCTCACAGCTCCAAGCCTGTTTGTAATACTCTCTTTCTGCCCTGCCCCCACTTGAGCACATGTGCCTCTGTCTCTCTCTCTCAACATAAATAAAATGAACTTAAAAAAAAAAAAAAAGAACAATACCAAGGGTTATAGCTTTCCCTATTTGGGGTGATTTGGAGCTGATTATCTGTGAATGACAAATCTGACTGCAAGCTCAAGGGACAGTCAAGAGGCTCTCCTCTTCCTCTAAATTGCAGAACTTTACCCCCAAATAGGTGTGCTCAGCTCCAGGTGCATACATAGACTAGGGGCCCTATCTCACCTGTGCTTCTTATTGTATTTGCATTTGCATTTTCCACCTGTGAGAGGAAGAGATGGTCAATGCAAAGAACCTGGGGAGCCTGGGCCCCCTCCCTCCCTCCCCCATGCGCTGCTGCCAGCCCACCACTCACTCAGAGCTATCAAGATTCCAGCGATGCACAGGAGCCCTCCAACAATCATCCCACCCAGCTGCAGGCTTTCCCAGTCTGGGGGAGCAGAGGGAGTGAGCTGGCACCCTCCTGGCTCCGCTCCACTCATTCAAAGATATTTATCATCACCTGCTTGTACAAATGCACTTACATTCCAGGCAACAAGAAAGACAAGCCAGTAAATAGTTATACTGTATAATGTCTGGTGGGAACAGCACTAGGGAAAAAACATAAGCAGAAGAGCACAGAAAACGAAGGAAGGCTTTTCTGAAAGGTGGCGTTTGAGCTGAGGCTAGGGGGAGATGAGTGTGTAGGGACACTGGAGGACAGTGCCAGGCCAAGGAAGAGGAAACCTGCCTGGGGCACTGTGAGGCCGAGAGCTGGGTGCTGGGGAAGGCAAATGAGAGAGTAAATGGAGGATTAGGTGAGATACCTGGGGACCCAGTGGCCTCCAGCCCCTCCCCCAGAAATCTTTCTAAATATCCTGTGGGCACCTTCCCTCCTTGCTGGTATGAAGTTCTCCCAAAGATCATGTTGCAGGTTGGCCTTTCACTCTTTTCATAGACCATGCTGAGTCTGCAGTCCCCAGTCCCAGCCCCATCTTGCTGCTCTTTCTTCATCAGCCCTCACTAAGCTCTAGCAAAGAGGTCTAGGATTGACAAAGGTAGGGTAGGGGTGGGGGGTGAGGGATATCAGCTCTTACCATAATAGAAGGTACTGTCTTTATCTGTGGGAAGGGGTGGAGGGGAAGAAGAAGAAAGAATAAGGACCAGAACCAGGAGGCAGCGTGTGGGGTCTAGAGGGAAATTGTGGGGCAGCAGCAGCAGGGCAGTTTGGGGCCTTACTCACCAACCAGGTCATTGGCTTCCAAGGCAGGCAGGCCTGGGTAGGAAAAACAGAGGGATGTGGTATTAGGTCGTGACTGGACTCAAAATGAATCAGCAGGCAGGCCCTCAGCCCAGGGGGCAAAGATGAACCAGCTTCATGGGTAGGGGGTACCCTAGGGTCACCAGTTCCCTTCCTCCCACCTTCCCCACTCCCATACAGCCCTGGGATTTTCTCTCTCATCCCATGGGCTTGCGGCCCCTCTGCAACTCACCCTTCCTGCTATTTCTCCTGCTTCCTGCTAGTCTTTCTTGCATTTGAAATGGGATGGTGTATTGGTATCTTTTTACCCTCTACTGAGAAGCTTCCTACACAGACCCTGGCCAACGCCCTGTTAGGGAATAGGGAAGGCTTCTCTCTCTCTCTCTCTTTTTAAAGTTTATTTGTTTATTTTGAGAGCGAGACTGTGAGTGGGAGAGGGACAAAAAGAGAGAGGGAGGATCCCAAGCAGGCTCTCCGTTGTCAGTGCAATGCTCAGTGTGGGGCTCAAACCAATGAACTGTGAGATCATGACCTGAGCCGAAATCAGACACTTAACTGACGGAGCTACCAGGTGCCCTAGGAAGTGCTTCTCTCTTTATGCCAACAGATGGTTACGGTTTTCCAAAGTTCAATTAGTTAGGACAGCTTTTGCAATATCCACTTCCTAACTGTATTATTATTTCCTTAGTGCTGCTCTTTAAATTGACAGTTTAAATGAAAACACATTTGTTCGACATCAGGCCCCCTTTGGGAGATGCTGCCCTCGTTTTCACTGTCTTGGTGGGAGGGTGAGTGGCAGCAGGTTCACTTCTGGGGGAGGGGGTACTCACCTGCCAGTGTAAGAAGGCCCCGGGTCACTCTCTTCATGACACACCTTGAGGGCAGGGCTGCAGGGGAGGGTGGCAGGCTTGGGTCAGAGAGCCCTGACCTGCCCCAGGCTCACAGTGCCTGGGGCAAAGAGCCAGGGCATACATCCCAGGGGTGCATTTGGCTCATGAGGTGGTTTTGGAAAAGTTACTAATTTCTATTTCCTCATCTAGAGATGATGATGGTAATGACTAGTGGAGTGACATATATTGAGCTACTACTATTAAGTATTTAGAACAGTGCTCGCACATAGTAAGTGATTTGTTAAAGTCTTTGTTGAAGTCGTTAATCAGATGCCTGACCCTAGGTCAGAGGAGCGGAGCTACTGTTTTAACTCAGGTTTTGGTGGCTGCCTTCCTAATCCCCACTTAAAAGGCAAAGGCAACCTGAGCTATTTTTCCCAAAGGTCTGGGCCTCAGGCACTAGCAGGATGAATTCCAAGATAGTCTCCGCAAAGGGCCACCCTGGACTGAGCAGCAGAGGAGAGCAGCTGAGCAGGTGAAAGGTGGTGGTGGAGGCAGGTGAGAGCCGCCCACCCCAGCCCCAGCCTGGGATCTTGCTCCATGGAGGCCTCAAATTCCACTCTGAGTACAGACTGCTATTGGCAGGAAACTGTGTGTGGATGGAAGGATCATTACTCCTTTCTTCTTTCTCCTTGGAGTGAGAACTATCTATGTCCCTATTTACTAGTTCAGAGGGTGGCTGTTTCCTTGAGATAAGACCCCTTCCAGCTTTCTGCATGTTGTTAGCTGCAGGCAAGCATAGATATTGTCAGCTGTTGCAAACTGAAGCCATGTTTGTTATCTGCTGGGCCCAAAGGGCTGGAACTCTAATGCCCTCAAAACCACTGATCAGCTGTGTGACTCAGTGGGTTACTTAACCTCTCTACGCTTCAGTGTCCTGTAAAATGAAGATAATTAATAGTAACTGCAAAAGGTTATGATTGAATTAAATGAGTCTATATGTGAAGCCCAAGAATAATGCCTAGCACATAGTAAGGAATGAAATGTGTTAGAATAGACAAATACATAGCCTTTTACTTGTTAGATGGGATGCTGCCTGATATGTGAATTGCTTAATAGAGCCAATTTGATACATACACACACACACACACATACATACATGGGATCCTTTTGCCCTGAATGGGAGAGACTATTAATGTGCAGCTTCTGGACATGGGAGTTTGTCAGCTTTTAACAGTCTCCGAAGCGAGCCCTCCTTTGGACTCATCCCCCCTCACCACCCTGGGATTCCTCAATATTGAGGGTTGCAACTCCACTCTACATACTCCTTAGGCAATGCCTGGCTTCTGTTTCCTCCAGCCGCTAACCTACCGTCCATATGACGGTCATAGAGTAAGCAGCCTCCAATCCTCAAAACCCTCAAAAGTGGATCCTGTTACTGATGATACCTAGGCATCCACCACCCCTTCCTCAGACAGGTACCTCCTCCACCTTCACCCTTCTTCCCCTACCCTTCCACTTAGCAGCCTTGAAGTCCTAGCAGATACTTGCTTACCTGAGAGCCAGGTGCAGAAAGCAGGTTTAGAGAGGCTTCTGGGGCTGTGTTCAGTGCAGGTGGGTTCCGGCTCTTTAAACCCAGCAGCTCCGCCCAGGGCAACAATGCCATCAGGCAGGAGGGAACTAGTCAGATTCCTTGAGTTTGCTGTAGCTCCTTCTCCCTCCCCCACCCCCCAACTCTGTGTGCTCTGGAGACAGCTTGTCTTGCCACACCCCATGCAGAGCTGAGCTCCTGGGGGCCCCAGGGCCATCAGAGGCTAAAGTGGTGGTGCTAGAGGGATAGGCTGGGTTTCAGACCTTTCTCTTGAGGAGAAGGTGGGATGAGTTTTTTAGCTCACCTAGATCCTAAAAGAGGGGTCCACAGGGGGCTGGGACACAGGATGTTTCTGGGTTCTTGTTCCAGCAGTGGGGGTTCCAGGACTTCTGTGTAGGGTGTAATCCAATCAACTAGGAGCCAGGGACTAGCCTGAGGCTCCATTTGCTCAGTGATCCCCTTGCTTTTCCCTGGACTGGGTGTTTATTTTATTTTATTTTATTTTATTATTTTTAAAACATTTTAATGTTTATTTATTTTTGAGACAGAGAGACAGAGTGTGAGCGGGCGAGGGGCAGAGAGAGAGACACACACACACACAGAATCGGAAGCAGACTCCAGGCTCTGAGCTGTCAGCACAGAACCCAGTGCGGGGCTCGAACTCACGAACTGCGAGATCATGACCTGAGCTGAAGTCGGACGCCCAATTGACTGAGCCACCCAGGCTTCCCTGGACTGGGTATTTATAGAGGGGGAAGGCTGGGGCTGATGGCATCCTTCAGGATCGCCCACCCTCTGACCAGCCTCCGACACCCACTTAGCCCAGGGAGACTGATGGCTAGGATTAGAAACCACCTTGGCTTAGGCCCTGGTTTCCTGCCTACTCCACAGAGTGTGGGGCAGGGATGGTACCAGGAGGAGGACTGTCAGCTCCGGCTGAAGAATGCGCTGCTTCCTTCTGTGCACCTCTGTTATCTGCCTCATGTGCTGCTCCTCCACATGCTTTTGGCCTTTGCCCTTGGCCCTGGATGACCCCAGGACTCTGTTCTGCTCTTCCTCCTCCCCAATTCCTCTCTGTTTGCTGCTTTTACCAGTGGATGGTGATCTAAAGGCAGGACTGTTGCCTCCCTTAATCCCAATTGCCATTCATGGACACCAGTATAGATTTTGACTGAATTGAATCAGTGAGGACAAGAAGCCACCAGAGGCTCCCAGTGCTGGGGTCAGGGGGAAAACAAAGACTTGAAGGGCAGGGGAGGGAGGAAGGGGGAGGATATTCCTAGTGTGAATGTCACACCTCTTCATGAAAACCTGCTGTGGTGCTCCCTGTCTTCAAGATTCAGTTTCTACAGAGTTCAAGAGCTAGAGCTGACTCCCAGCCTGCCATTTGGTTAATGGGTGAGCTGAGGTAGCTCCTTCATTATTCTGAGTCTCAGTTCCCTCTCTTCTTCTTTTTTTTTTTAAAGGATTTTAGTATTAAAAATTTTTTTTAAATATTTATTTTTGAGAGAGAGAAACAGAGCATGGATGGGAAAGGGGCAGAAAGAGAGGGAGACACAGAATCTGAAGCAGGCTCCAGGCTCTGAGCTGTCAGCATAGAGTCCGACGTGGGGCTCGAACTCATGAACCATGAGATCATGATCTGAACTGAAGTCGGACCCTGGACCGACCGAGCCACCCAGGTGCCCCTCAGTTCTTTCTCTTCTAAAATGGAATTAATGACAGGACTTCCCTTCAAGGTTTGGGGTATAGATCCTGCTCTCAATATGTATTTGTGGAATGAATGCCCCCTAGGCCCAGCGTGAGAAAGTTTGTTAACCTCAAGATTCAAAAAAACCATTAATTGCACATACTTTGGAGTCAAATCCAGGCTCTGTTAGTTAGTTGCTATGTGCACTTGAGCAGCTAATTTACCCTCTTCCTGCCTATTTATTCATCCATAAAGTAGGAACCATGACCGAGCCTATTCTGAATGTTTGTGGTGATGATGACATGTGATTGTGCTGCTCAGTTCACTGTAACTATAGTTGGGAATGGCCCTGATAGCCACACAGAGACATCTGCAGCATAAGAGAAAGGGGGTCTTCAGTACAGATACCCCCATGAAGAAACCACATTCCAGAGAAGAAAAGGTCTTTCTCAAGGTCGCACTGTGCCTTGGTAGCAGAGTGGGGTTTCAGCCCAACTTATCAGATCTGTCAGTTGAGTTCTCCCCCCAGGCTCCAGGGAGGAGTAAGCAGCAATGAAGCAGGCATTTGTAAAAAGGGGACACTGTAAGTCCCAGGTGCCCTTTTTGCTTTGGGAGGTCTCCAGGAAATATTAAAAGGATCTCAGATCCACTTCTCCAAAAGGCTCTAGCACTTTTGCCCTACCCTACAGCTTCTGCCCTCTTCAGGAATCCTCCACTCCCATCTGCCACCATGAGATATTATCATCTTTTTTTTAAAGTTTATTTATTTTGAAAGAGAGCTAGAGGGAGAGCGAGCTAGGGAGGGTCCGAGAGAAAGGGGGAGAAAGAATCCCAAGCAGGCTCCACAGTGTTAATGCAGAGCCTAATGTGGGGCTGGAACCTAGAAACCATGAGATCATGACCTGAGCTGAAACCAGGAGCTGGACACTTAACCAACAGAGCCACCCAGGTGCCCTAGAGATATTATCGTTTTTAACAGGTTGAAAGAAAACTTCACCTTTACCGGTGGTATTGACACTAGTCTAAGGTAAGGGAGGGGTAGGTTGAGCCTGGGGCAGAACCAGGGAGAGGGAGTCCAGCTGCCTGTGTGTGACTTGTGCAAGCACAATGGTAGGTCACCACCTCATCTTTTCCTTTTGCCCAAACTGGCTGTAAGTGTAAGGTGCCCCGTGGCTGAGTAGTGCATCTGTCCCGTCTGAGGGGCCTCACAGGCCGGCCATTTACTCAGTGGCAGGCAGCAATGCCTTCTCTGCTGGAAGTGGTATAAAGTCAGTTCCCAGGTTAGTGAATTTATCTTCTAAGAATTAAAACCAGTACTTATGAATGGTCATGAAACTGGGTGTTGAAACCTTTAGAAGTTTTGCATAGTAAGAAGTGTTTACTAAACTGTCTTTTCATTCATTAGGAGTGTTTAGGATGAACAGTTGCCCTCTCAAATGAGAGACTGGACTGGCAGTGAAGGCTGTTTTCAGGAAATCACCTTCAAGGAGGGCTGGCCACTTGCCCTGATTCTTGGACATGCATTCCTCATCAGAATCTCTGGAGCTATCCATGTGGGTCTGATTTCTTTTTCTTTTTTTTAATTAAAAAAATTTTTTTAACCTTTATTTTTGAGAGAGAGAGAGTGAATGAGCAGAGGGAGGAACAGATAGAGAGAGGGAGACACAGAATCAGAAGCAGGCTCTAGGCTCTGAGCTGTCATCATAGAGCCTTTGCGGGGCTCAAACTCACGAACTGAGAGTTCATAACCTGAGCCAAAGTCAGATGCTTAACTGACTGAGCCACCCAGGTGCCCTGGGTCTGATTTCTTATCTACCAAATGGGAGAGCTGGGTAATAAGAAACTGAGGCTTCCAGGAAAATCACACCTCAGGAGATGAAAAGCTGAGAGGAGTGGGTGAATGAGAGCCACACTTGGTTGGGTAGGTGCAGATGAGATCCTGGAGGTACTAAAGTTGAGAGAGAGAGAAAACTGCGATTCAGCTCTGAACACTTTCTTCCCCTTCTGGAGTCAGTGTTGCAAGGAATTATAAAGGGCCTTGTGTGGAAGTCTGTTGCCAAGAGTGGCTGCCTGAAAATCAGCACTGACGCTCAGGGTCTCGCCTCTGCTCATGTCAATCACTGCCACAGCTCCTCACAGCTCCAAACTGCTTTTCCCTTTCTGCAAACACTAACTATTGCTCTGTGAAAAAGAGATGCATCCTCAAAGCCATTCACTTCACCGAAGAAAGGTAATAAAATAGGAATTATCTAAGATTGACCAGAGGTAAAATAAAAAGGAAGTGGCTAGTATCTTGCCTGGCACATAGTAGGAGTACAATGTGTTTTTTCCTACCTTCCAAGATGGAATGAATGTCACAGACCTCAAAAGGCTGAGATTGTCTATTTCGAGGGCATCTGGTAGAGTAGGGAAAAGACCCCATTCGTGAGGAGAGAGGTTACTCCAGTTGTCTCCAATGTTTCATCCCTTTGAGAAATACACACTAAATACCCACTTCCTGTGCTCTGTCTCCCTCAGAAATCCCCCACCCTCCTTCCCCTCTCTCTGCATTTTCAGCATGTCCCCCTATATATGTGTTCACAGTGCTGGGCTCCTACTGGTCTGGGGCCCACAGATCTGGGGCCTTTGACGATGGGGGTTGAGGGGGTGGAGCTAGAAACACAGCCTGTGTGAGGAGGCTAGCGAGAGTAAGACAGGATGCAAGGGCCGTCTGAAGGGTAGGGGCGGTCTGAGAGCTCACTTTTTAGGCGCTAGGCTCAGCTAACTCTTGTGACTTGGGGAGACATCAAAAGGGGTCCTTTGCTGCGGATTCTAAGTGCCTTCTGGGAGAGGGGATAAGGAAATGGTGCGGGGGGGGGTGTCTCACGAAGGGGGATATGTGGGTGTGTGTGGCAGCCAGTCCCCTCGGAGTGTGTAGTGAAAGCTTGGCTCTCTTTGGCCCAATCAGGCCTTCCAGAAATGACATCTGCGCGTCCAGGAATCTCCTTCCTAGAGGCCATTCAGTACCAGCCTCCCACTTCGCTCAAAGGACTGAGGAATAGCCAATCAGAATAGGACCGCAGTGGCTTCCAGCCAATCAGCACTAAAGGACGGCTGTTGAGGCCGGGCCGGGGGCGAAGCCACTTGTGAGGCTAGGGCCCAAGCAGCGTGGGCCGGGTTTTCCTGTAGCGGAAGCGGTCCCGCCCACCTTCGCGCAGATTGGCTGCTCTGGTTCTACTGCGTATTTGTCAAGCAGCCTCCCTATTACGCATGCGCAGTCACTCACGTCGCTGTCGCCCAGTAAAGGTCGGCACTCCGGTCAAATCGTGCCGTGTCTTTGTCCATCCATTCTTACGTTCGCGCCCCCGTAATGGTCACAGTCTTCCCGAAGTCATGGTCTTCAATAACTGGGACCCTAGAGGCTGTGAAGGATAGCTGAGGTGAAGGGACAGGACAGCTGGTGAGCCCAGAGCAGGTAAGGGAGGAGGAAGACAAGAGCAGGGCTGCCTGTTGAATCGGCAGGAGGTGGCGGGCTCCGTGGAATGAGGCCAGAAAGCCGCCAGGGGACCTTGGACTTGGGGAACGCTTCAAACTAAGGGGAAAGTATGAGCCTGAAGACCTGTGCAAAAGGAGAGAAGCGGAAACGGTTGACCTAACTGAGGCCAGGCGGCTTCACTTCTCGTTGACCTTTCATTGGACGGCTGTTAGAGCTCAGGAATGCCCTCCTCGCAGCCACGGGTCCACAGGCCCCTTAGTCCTTGTCCAGCTGCTCCTCCTGCCTCTCATCAGCCAGACTTCGCAGCTGTCTACTTCATTTCCCAGGGGTAGTTGACAGTCAGCACCTTGTAAAATAAACCTTCCCGCTCCCTATCTGAGGTCACCCCCTCATCTGTCTGACACACAGGCCACCACTAAGCACATACGGAACTTCTCTACTGATGTGTCGGCTCCTCGGGCTATGATCCCCTTAAGGGCACGAGCACCCCTCACCCTGGCTGACAGTAGCTTCGTCCACAAGAGCAGCCTAAGTAAGTGCTTGCTACTTGGCACGCTGTTTTCCAGGACTTTCCATGTATTAACTTATGCCATCCTCACAACAACCTATCTAGAGAGGACTCATCACCCAATTTCAGGACGAGGAGGTGAAGTGAATGGTTAAGGGAAGTTCTGGCCCACACAGCTGGAAGTGGCTACCCGGCCCCAGTGCTGGCTTTTAACCACCACTCTCCACATTAAACTGTGCACTTGATTTATTTTTAATATGATTTTATTTCATTTTAAAAAAATGTTTATGTATTTATTTTGAAGAGGGAGTTTGTGTGCACGAGCTGGGGGAGGGGCAGAAGGAGAGAGGGAGAGAGAATTCCAAGCAGACTCTGTGCCACTAGTGTTTTAATACAATTTTAAAACAGTTCTGTTGAGAAATGATTCACCCACCATACATTTACCCCATTTAAAGTGTACAATTTAGGGGTTCCTGCTTAAGATTCTCTCTCTCTCTCTTCCTCCCACCCCCTTTCCCTCTCCCTCTGCCTTCTTCCCCTGCTTGTGCTCTCTCTCTCAAAAACTAAAGGGATACCTGGGTGGCTCAGTTGGATAAGCATCTGACTTTGGCTCAGGTCATGATCTCATGGTTTATGAGTTCCAGCTTTGCATCAGGCTCTCTGCTGTCAGTGCAGAGCTTGGAGCCTGTTTCTTCAGATCCTCTGTCTTCCTCTCTCTCTGCCCCTCTCCTGCTTGTGCTCTGTCTCTTTCTTTCTCTCTCAAAATAAATAAACATTAAAAAGGTTTAAAAAAATTAAAAGAAAATAAAGTGTACAATTCAGTGGTTTTTTAGTATGGTCACAGAGTTGTACACATTATTTTAAAAAATAGATTTCTTTTTGATGTGTGTGATTTTTATGCAGATAATGTCTAAATTGTTTTAAATTTGTTTTTTAAATTTTTATTTTTATCTTTTACAATTAATTAAGTTTTAGAAAGAGAGAGTGAGAGCAGAGGAGGAGCACAGAGAGAGGGAGAGAGAGAATTGCAAGCAGGTTCTGCACATGGTCAGGGTGCAGAGCGCTATGTGGAGCTTGAACTAATGAAACTGTGAGGTGATCTGAGCTGAAATCAAGAGTTGGTCGCTGAGCTGACTGAGCCATCCAGATGCTCCTAAAACATTTTTTAAAGTAGGGGCGCCTGGGTGGCTCAGTCGGTTAAGTGTCCGACTTCAGCTCAGGTCATGATCTCACAGCTCGTGGGTTCGAGCCCCGTGTCAGGCTGTGTGCTGACAGCTAGCTCAGAGCCTGGAGATTGTCTTCGGATTCTGTGTCTCCCTCTCTCTCTGACCCTCCCTGCTCGCTTGGTCTCTCTCTGTCTCTCAAAAATAAATAAAAAACATTAAAAAATAAAAAAAATTTTTTTTTTAAAGTAATCTCTATACCCAGTGTGGGGCTTGAATGCACAACCCCATGATCAAGAGTCACATACTCTATGGGCTAAACCAGTTGGGCACCCCTAGATATTTTGAATCAGTGAGTGTACTTTTTATTTTCACTAGGGTACCAGTTGTCAAAAAGTTGGTATCACTAAACATGTACTATGTATGCCATGCTTTTCAAAATAAGTTAAAGGGATTCTTGGCTGGATCAGTTGGTAGAGTGTGAGATTCTTGACCTTGGGGGTCATGAGTTCAAGTCCCACTTTTGGGGTAGAGTTCACAAAAAAAAAAAAGAAAGAAAAGAGAAAATAAGTTATAATTTGATTTTACAACTTGCAAAGTATTTTCATTCTAATATAATTACTCGATATGTATTTAATAATTCGACACATATTTTGAATCTCACTATAGTTTTGGCACTTTACCAGGAACTGGAGGTTCTGAACCAGGCAATGCAAAAATCGGCCTTGAGTGGCTGACATCACAGTGAGGGCAGTGAGTCAGAAAAAGAAATAGATGGTACAGTATTTCAAGTACCAATTGACAGGTATAGTGAAGACACATGAAGTGGCTGAGATGTAGAGTGATGGGGGAGAGAGATAGCTTTATTAAGACTGGTAGGCCGGAATTGGTCAGTGATAGGAACATACGTTTAAAACATTTCTATGCCACAGTCATAAATTTCCCTTTGCTACTTTTTTTCTGGCTAAACTGAGCCAATGAAGTCAAACATATACCCAGATTTTAGATTAGAGCATAATTTACAAAAAGGGTTTCTTATCTAGAGCCCGTGGCTTTCATTCCAAGAAATGTCTCTCCATCAAATCTGTTTATCTTGTTAAAACAAGACAACAGGCCCCCATATGGAGATACTTATGCTAAGCCACATCACCAAACTTAGACTTAATTTAATTACAGTTTGACTCCGAAATGGAATCTTAAACCAGTCAATCAGGAATTACCTGATCAGCACTAGCAGGGTAATCTGCCTGATAGACCCCTGTCATCTCTTAAAGGAAAGTGACCTTGACACAGCCAGTCCACCTTTTGCTAGTATAACTTTTTTGTTCCCTTTCCCTTCTGTCTATAAGTCTCTTCTTTCACCTCAGATCTCCTTTCTTTCTACTAGATGGGATGTTGCCAGATTCATGAATCATTGAATAAAGCCAATAAATGAGATCATTAAAATTTACTCAGTTGAATTTTTTTTTAACAACTTGTCTCTTTATGTAAGTTAGTTATAATAAGTGTCTGATAAGGAAAATTACTTAATTATTTGGCAGTATTAGAATAAAAGAATGTTTTTATTGGCACTGTTAAAGTTAAAAGACTAAATGAGAGACCAAAGACACTGTGATTGGAAAGGGTGTGCATTGAAGCTGGTTTTAGTTCTGTGTTTGTTAGCATAGAATGTTGACAATGAACGTCAGTAGTTTCTAGAAGCTTGTCTGTCAAGTTGAAGAATGCATTGAATTTGTGGCCTCTTGAAATTTAGATTCAAATGCAATCAAAGCTGGACAAAGTCTTTGTTGTCTCCACTGCATTAGCTAATTTAAAAACCCTGAAACATTTTGCTGTCATTTGTTATGCAGTTTTACCAGTACACAAAGGAACTTGATGTTTTGTTCTACTCCAATCAGACTACAAAAGAGAATAAGGAGTACCTCCAAGCAACATTTACCAAACTAAAAGGAACTATTGAGAAATTGAAGTTCAGTAAACAATGAGAAATAAATCATATTTTAAAAAACTGAGGAGCAGTTTTAACTTTTTGCCTGTAATGTGAAAGTAAAATGCTTTGTAGTTTGATATGTAAAGTCTTGAGAGCTATTAGTTCTTCAAGGTTTTAAAAAACTAGTAAAATATTAATATATTAACTTCTAATGATCAACATTGGGATTTTCCACGGTGAGGGTGGAAGCCATCCCCTCCACCACACAGCACTCGGAGAACCAGTTTTCCTGCTAGAGGTGGGTGGAATTTGCTGTGTTCTACTCTTTCATCCAGGGTGACTGAGACCTTCTAGGCTTCTAGGTCTGGGTACGGTGGGGTACACAGATCTCAGTTCCATTTCTAAAGCGGTACACCTGCCTTGAAAAACAATGTTATTTCTGAAAACTGAAGTTGTGTGAACCTGATGGCCAGGAGCGATGCCTTGGGTGTGTTCCTCCAAGAACAGACACATCTGCCCCAGAAGACCCCCATGGGCAGATCCCGGAAGTGGAAGCTGAAGCTCCAGCAATGCCGGAAGTTCTCTCTAGGGAAAGAACACAAAATCATTAACGATGTTTGTTTGAAAGTTTGTATATATATATATATTTCAAGATTTTATTTTTAAGTGATCTTACACCCAAGGTGGGGCTCGAACCTACCTTGATCTCGAACCCAGAGATCAAGCCTGGCATGCTCTACCAACTGAGCCAGCCAGGCATCCCTGAAAGTTTTTATTTATTTGGAATGACAAAACAGAACAATTGCAAATCTAGAAAAGTTGACAACAAAAATTTTAATACAACAGATTTTAAAATTAATTGTCAAAATATGAATTTTACTGGGAACATTTAACTACATAAGCTTGCCACTACTTCATCTGATATTGATTTCAAATATTTAAAATTAGTGTATATAAAATTAGAATAATTTCCATGAGAGAAAGAAGATAACAAAGCCTTCTAGCCTGATTAACCCACTCTTCTAAAAACATTTTTACTGATAATTTAGAAAACTTACTTCTAGCTTTCACAATGTATCATTGTTAATGTCTTGTAAAAGTTTTGGGTGCTGTCAAATTTGGGAAAACCTCTACTGAGTGTTTTTTTATGCATGAGCAGCCAGATTTCAAGGTCTTTCACTTTTTTTTTTTTTTAATGTTTACTTATTTTTGAGAGAGACAGAGCATGAGCAGGGGAGGGGCAGAAAGAGAGGGCGACACAGACTCCAAAGCAAGCTCCAGGCTGTGAGCTGTTGGCTAGACTTGAACTCACAGACAATATGATCATGACCTGAGCTGAAGTCGGAAGCTTAGCCCACTGAGCCATCCAGGCCCCCAGTTTCATGTTTTCTTGTTTATTTTCCACTCTTCACCATTCTTTGAATTGATGATGCTGGGTGACCACACTGGAGGTTTGCTCCAGAAGCCTTGGAAGGGACTCTGGGAGTGTATGTGGGGAGGGAGGGCTCAGGGGGACCAAGAGGGCCTTGGAGAGCGAGGAAGGGGTCTGTGTGGAGCCTGGATGGTGTGTGAGAGGGAAGTCTGGCTAAAGGGCTAGGGGGACAGGGTATGTGTGTGTGTTGGGGGGGGAGTCCCATCATAGGGAGGAGACCACGGTGTGGGGGCACACACTAGGGCAGGGCTGGAAGCAGGGCAGTGGCCAGAGCTTGGAGGGATCAGACTTGGGGTGGGGGCTTGGGACCTGGGCCAAGATGGCCTGAGCTTGTGTGGGTGAGGAGCTTGGAATGGGTGAGGGTAGGGAAACCCTGGAGAGGGGGGTGGGGCCCGGAGGAGGCCCAAGTGTGGGTGGAGCTGGGTATGGGAATGGGCTCAGGCCCTGAGGTGGGGAGTTGTAGGTGGGTCTGCCCTGGCCTTGGGGAAGGTCCTGGATGTGGGGCCTGCAGACTGGAGGGTGGATTCCAGAGCCTGTGGAGTAGCTAGGATTGGCAATACCGAATTTAGAGGTGATCTGACTGTGGAAGGTGTGGAGGAGGGAGTCGGGATGTGGGCATGGGTCAGGGGGCTGGTGGTAGAGGGTTTTCTGGCTGTAGGCGGAGGCCCTTGGTATGTGAAGCTGGGGTGTGGGACCCCAAGCTTAAGTTTCAGTAGCTTCAGTAGCTCAGAAATGTTCCCACTAAAACTGTTTGTTTTTCAGTGTTTATTTATTTAGAGAGAGAAAGAGAGCCAGAGCATGCAAGTAGGGTAGAGGGGCAGAGAGAGAGAGAGGGAGAGAAAGAAAATCCTGGGGCGCCTGGGTGGCTTAGTCGGTTAAGGGTCCGACTTTCACTTAGATCATGATCTCGCGGTTCATGGGTTGGAGACCCGCGTCGGGCTCTGTGCTGACTGCCAGCTCAGAGCCTGGAGCCTGTTTCAGTCTGTGACTCCCTCTCTCTCTGACCCTCCCCTGCTCACGCTGTCTCTCTCTCTCCTAGAAATAAATAAAAACATAAAAAAAAAAAAGAAAATCCTAAGTAGGCTCCTCACTGTGAGCACAGAGCCCAACACAAGGCTTGATCCCACAAAACATGAGATCATGACCTGAGCAGAAATCAAGGGTCTGTTGCTTTAACTGACTGAGCCATCTAGGCGCCCAGGACTGTTTGATTGAAACCCCAGAAACAGTGTAAATAACCATTGGGCGGAGAAAGATAATTACAGCATTTTGTTGGTTAGAACTTTATTCGGCAGTGAAACCAGTGATTTAGTCATGGATTAAGATAAATACCAGTGTATTGAATGAAAAAAGTTGTAGAAGATGCTCTTTATATATAGTTCAAAACTGTATATGTAGTAAAGCAATAATGAAAGCATTAGAATAGATAATAATTTAAAAAGTAAGGGGCACTCGCGTGGCTCAGTAGGTTAAGCGTAGGACTGTTGTTTTCGGCTCAGGTTATAGAGAGCCATTTCAGGCTCTGCGCTGAGCCTGGAGTCTGCTTGAGATTCTCTCTGTCTCTCTCTGCTCCCCACCTCCCATAAATAAACTTAAAAAAAAAAAAAAGTGGACAATTCAGACTGGAGTTTCCTCTGAAAGTGAGGAACGGAGTGAGGCCTTGTGTGCACGGGGAGACTTCACCTGCTTCAGTAATAACTGGGTCTGTTAAAGTTGACCCAGTGCCGCCTGTTTGACTCCCGGGCTTTATGTTGTATGAGAGAATCAAGCAGAGCACAGGTAGCAGAGTGAAGCAGTTAACGCCTGGCAGGAGAAGGCTGTGAAGGAGCAAGGGGACTGGTAATTTGAGGAAGGACTTCCAGGTTTTTCACGGGAATAGTACAGCTGGTGTCTGAAACGGGAATAGAGGGATTATTCTGAGGACCGGCAGCTGTTGTTTGGACAGCCTGGACTTGACGAGGAATGGAGGGAATGTTCTGAGGCTAGCAGCCATAGGCTGGGCAGGCCAGACTTTATGGAGAAGGATGCAGAGGAAGAGGTAGGGCTAAGTGGTGTGGAGGGACAAGGAGGCACAGCTGAGGGGACAGGACATTTGAAAGCCACAGTAGCCAAGTCTCACATCTCAAGTCCTGTAGGGTCTCTCATGATATTTAATTAGAATTTAATTAAACCCAATGGATGACTTTAGAGTCACTGCCCATTTTACAGACAAGAAACTGAAGTCTGGACTCATTCAGTGAATTTCCCAAGGCCAGTCTGACCCCAAAGTCCCTGGTCTTAGCACTGTTCAGTACCACACTTTGCAATATTAACTCACTGACTCCTCACAACAGCGTTATGAGGTCGACCCTATCAGTATTCTGTTTTATAGGCGGGGAAGTGGAGGCACAGAGAGCCAGGTAGTAATGGAAGAAACCAGAATTAGAATCCAGGTCAGGTCTCATAATCTAGGCCTCAGGGCCAGTAACAGTGGCAGTGCTTGTTAAAGAAAACTGAATGTGGCCAGGGGGTGACATGCGGTAGGGAGTGCACGAGGAGAAGAGCAGATTGGACTTGGGAGTTCCCATTTCCCACCTTCTATGCCCTCTGCTGCTAACCCACCCCGAATTCTCCCAGAGCCTGTGAGTGCCCGCAGGGAGGCAGGGCTGGTTGTACTGATGAAGCCGTGAACTGAGCTGACTGCATGGGGCAGATGCATTCGAACAGGTCCTGTTGTTCATCAGTCCTGCAGGGGTCTACACTGAAGCAGCACAGGAGAGATTATTGGGCCTTCCAAATTCACAGCTGTTTATCAGCCTCGGTGGGACCTCCGGTGGGGAGAAAATCCACAGTCAGTTTTGTTTTCTCCTAGGCAAATGCTATAGATGTTTTTGTGTATGAAAATATACATTACGTATATGGGAGAGAAGAGGCAAAGATTCACCACGAGGAGTGCAGGGGTGAAGACACCATGGCAGCCAGGTTTGGAAGCTGGAAAATGGGGCAGCACCCTCACCTGTCCTGGGGAATGCCAGAAAGGACTAGGAATTACAGTGCCCAGGACCTTCTGAAAGTGGGTGTTCAGACGTGCTGGAGAACTGCCTGAAAGTCCCCTTGAAGGTCAGGCGTAAGAGTTTTTCCTGGTGCAGGACTCTCTGTCCTGGCCATTCTGTATATCTGTGGCTCTGAGTTCCTTGGTGTCACTTTCTTGGTCTGACTGGAAGTCTCTTTCCCTCCCTCTCGCTTTCCCTCATCCCTCTGGGTCTCTGAGTTGTTTGCATCCTTATTTATACTGTATCTTTGCTACATCCAAGTGTCTCTTAAAGCTTCCTTACACCTGCTTGTCTCTGAAATTTCTGGGACTCCAGATGTTCTGTTTTAGTACCCTCCAGGCCAGGCCCAGCAATTCACCCCTCGGATTACAACCCTACTAAGCATGAAGCCAGTGGTTAGCTCATTATTTTACAGGAGCAGGGCCCTTTCCGGGGCATGGCCTCTGAGTCAGGCCAAGCAAGGGTGTGGGATCCCAAGGCAGTTTTCATTTGTGGGATATGGGGCAGAGCCCACCCCCAGTTAGCCACAAGGTGGCAGTAGAGGACTGTTGCAGCATTATTCTTTTCCCTACTGCACTCTTAACTGTTGAGACAC